TCGAAGTTTAAATATCCGGAAAGTGTTTTAAAAGAGGAGGAATTAAGCTAGTCTTAATGCTTGGCATTTTACGCTGCAGGAAAGATCATAAAAAACAGAACTTATTCCTACAAATGGCAGTAAATATTGGAAGCCATTATTGCCCTCCTTCTGAAATGAGACAAAACATTGAAGAAAAAAAACATCGATTTTTTAATTATATTTCATGTAGTCTAATGAAGTACTGAGTTTTTTTTTTGCTATTCTTAACTGATCGAAATATTGCAATTTATATGCGAATTTAAAGTAACCACATAATTGTGGCTGGGGCGTTATGCTTCTGAATTTTCTGTAACGAAGGTAAAAATATATATGGGATTGAAGGCATGGAGATTAGTGATTGTTTCGATTTCAAACAAGGCAGAACTTTGTTTTAATCGTTATATTTTTTGCAAAATTAGGCACTGGTAGTGTGCATAAGAGTTATATACATCGAACTCCTTGTAATTATTCCTGGCAAATAGGAATGAAAATTAGATTGCGTATTATCATCATAGCAAATAATCTATTTGCATGTTTATCAGATAAATAAATTAATGCCAACCACATCCAAAATCACAATTTCTCTGGTCAGAAATTATTATAGCAGCTCAGTTTCAAAAGGAAATGAAAAAAAATCGTGTGTCCAAACTCGAATAATGCGGGGTGGTTTCAGAAAGAAATGCCGAAGTCATGAATCGCAGGTCCAATGCCAATAACAGCAATACACGTAAATGGTCAGAAATCCACGGCACAGAAAAACAGTCACTTGCAAGCCGACGAAGGTACGGGAAAAAACTGCCCCATTGCTTTTGTCGATGGAACAGCTTTTTTTCATTGGTCAATGGTTGGAGAGGACAAACAATATTAACATATTCTAGATGCATTTATGGCAACAGCTGTCACTGACTTGTTTCTATTTTGGGTACTTAGTCTTTGGCATATCGTACACAACCTTTTTCGCGATAAATGAATTTCTCTTTCGCCACATTATCTGAAAATGCGATAAAAGTTATTGTTACACACCAGGCAATCAAGCTTCGACAGACTGAAAAAAAATGGGAACATTAAATATTTTTATATTCAAGTTTCTCATTTGGAATATTTATCTCTAAAGAAAAATCACAAAATGATATTGTCAGTCTTCATAGGCCCTCAGATCAATTTCTACTATTTTAGTGGGTACTCTATGGAGGTCAATAGGGGATTAGCTAATGTAGATTAAGGAGGAAACTGTCTGTTCCGATTCCTTTCATCAAGTATGCTTAGTGTTATGTATGAACATCATCTCTAACTAGCATATTATATACATTGGAAAAATTAAAGACAAAGTTATAATTAATTTCCTCTGACGCGTTTCGTCCTTTAGGAATAAATCGGACAAAAACATGATGTTTCCGTCGATGCAAATACACATGCGCACAAAGGCGGAGGAAATGCTGAAATTTGAACAATAATATATGTGTTTTCAAATATGTTTGGGTATATTGTCTAACCATCAAGATACTTTTATCTTTTTGTTTACGCTTTTCATCGCTTTTGTTATTAACTATCCAAAATTGTGCTTATAAATTATCAGCCTAGAACAGTGAAATGTTGAGAAAGCAATAGGCGGGGGATCTAGGATTAAAACATTTTCTATATACGTTCGATTTAGCGAATACCTTTCTATTTTAATTAAATAGGCATTTTTAGATTAAACTTATGCCCAGACACATCCTAGTATGTTTCTAGTATATAGAAATTTGTACAATTTTCTCCCATATTATTTATGTTTTTTTAAATTATTTCAAAGATTATTCTATTTAAAATACACGCAACATTTGTATCTTTGTTTTCAAAGTATTACGTCTATCTCTGTATATATAAAAAGCCTTAGGCTCATAAATTCTTTAGGAATACACACACTGACGCACACACACACACACACACACACACATATATATATATATATATATATATATATAGATAGATAGATAGATAGATAGATAGATAGATAGATAGATATGAGTTTCTGACACTGAGTTTTAAGCTTTTGCGATCATCAGACAGATTTGTTTAGTATTTAGAAATTGGATTTGTTTATCCTTGTTTGACTATGTATGGCGGTGGGGGGAGGATTTAATTCTGTGTTTGTTTGGGCTGACACTAGCATACGCATAGACACATATACATACCGATGATCGCATTTTTGTTAACACAAACACATCCAAATAAACAATCCGAAGCTAGACAGAGATACACGTCCATGCGTTCGGGCATACGTATATACGCAGTTGTAATTGTATTTCGGTGTCGAGTCCTTAGAAAAAATAGATCCAATTTTAAAAAAAATAATCCAGTTTATCAGTTTATCGCGTGAATTCCAGCGCCACAAACTCATATCCATACAAGTGATTATGTTAACTCTATCACTGATATTGAATGAATTCCGTTAACTATTGCATCTATATATATATATATATATATATATATATATATATATATATATATATATATATATATATATATATATATATATATATATATATATACAGTCGACTGTTCCGGCGAGTTCGACATGAGGTTCAAAGCAGATCAGTTCCCAGGAAACCGACAGCTCGACAACAGCACATGAGATTTGATTATAGTGGTGAAGGTTTCGTGCAGGACCATCCACACTTTTTGAAAGGCCGATTACAGAGACCTAATGCACTCCGTGCCACAAGGTCCCCAAACGACCCTCCGCAGGTTTTGAATTCAGAGTTTTCCTTCTCCTAGACCAGCTGCCATCCAAGGCTATAGAACTTGGTCTGTCCTGCTATTTAGCCATAGATGGAGGGAGAAGAAGAGGATTCACATCTTTGCAAAGGGTATTAGTACGTAAGTGGATGTAATGGATTCGACTGGAATTCGAACTCGGCTCTGCGATTCCTCAATCCAAGTCGCTATCCATTACTCTCTCTGTGTGTGTGTGTGCGTGCACGCACACACACACACACACACACACACACACACACACATATATATATATATATATATATATATATATATATATATATATATATATATATATATATATATATATATATATATATATATATATATATATATATGATTGCTACCTCTTAATGTATTTTATAAATTTTAGTAATACATTTTCTTGTTAGAAATAAATTTTATTTTATTTAGGTTATGTGTCCTTGTAATCATATTTTATTGTAGATACCGTCGTGGGAATTTTACTGTTAATAAAACCTACATAATAAGTAAAAAAAAAAAAACGATCAGATCTATGTTGAAGTGTAAGTTCCACTGTATGGATTGATACAAAAACTTGATAGATATATTACTGAAAAATTCCTTTTCTTATATTCTGCGATATTCAAATTCTGCGTGAAAATTTTTACCTCCTGTAGTGCTATGAGCGTATTGATATTATTAATGAAATCTATTTCATATCAGGAATATTTACGTATTTGTTAGGCGAAAGATATTTAAGTTGTGAATTCTTAAAGGATTCATTAAGCTTAAGTCATGGGGAAAGAAATGTCCACTGTCCTATATTCCCTCAGCATTTATTGACACAAATAGTTTTTATTTCTTTAGGATTATGCTCATATTTTATTTAAGTTATTACAAGATTATCTATTGTTGAATTTTATTTTCAGTTCATCAAGAATTATTTATTTTGTTAATATAGACAACACAGCGGAGGAATGTCGAAGTGATAGGAAAATCATTGATAAGCTATCAGCTATCGCCGATTAGAACAAGTGGAAATGTTGATGCAAGATGGAAATAGAAAAAAAAACTTAAATCAACATACAATGAATGCTCATATCACAAACATAATCGACTCTCAAAAATCTTACAAAATTGTTTCATTTAAAGAATTTTACGCTACGCATACAGCGGTATTAATCTTTATCGCAAATCATTTTAGTAGAGTCCAAGAAGAAAATGGCACGGATTAGATAAGAGAAAATGTGTAATATTTCATCAGGATGAATTTAGGTTGCATGGTTTTTTGGTGACTAAGTAAAAAAAATGTTACACATTTGATTGTTTATTTGCACACAACCACAATATTTTTTCAGTTATTTCATCTTCCTATCACACCTTATTCTGCTTTTTTTTTTTTATTGAATAATCGATTTTAGAAGAAGAGTTTCCATTCCGTGGAAGAATGTAAAAAAGAACAGGGTCATTTTTGCTGACAAAAACCTGAGGGATCAGATGGAAATCTATCGACTGAAAAACTACAGAAGATGAAGAAACTATAAAAAATAAGTTCTTTAACACAAATAAAATTCCAAAAGCCTCAATGAGGTTTACATTATTAAGCGAGCTATTACATATTAGTAAATAAAATCGTGACCATTGATTAATTTTACCTACTCTACGTTTAGATTTCTCCCTGACTTGATATAGATATTTACGAGTATATCTAAAAGTCATGACATATTTATTTGATAAATCAACCTTTTGATATCAAAAGTTTAATAAATAAATAATTCGATAAATACACCGTCTCCGTTGCTGTGACATTTTGATGAAAACAAAGCGATTATCAAAGATAACAGGTTAGCAGTTATTATGCTTGTTTTAGCAGATTCTCATGGAAATTCTTTTGCTGTGTTATTATATCATTATATACAACTGTATGAAATAGTACCCAGACATAATTTATTTTTCAATTTTATTTCATCAAACTTTAAATTCCGGAAAAAAAAACGTGGAATATCTAGAGTATTAAAGAGTTTATAGAGAGTTTCCTTAGCAAAAGCGCAAAGATTCATTGGGATGCATTAAATTAGCTAGTGCTATTTTATCAACACCATATCCGTTGATGATTGATATGATCGTAGTTCTCCATACTCATCTTATCCACATTGCCTTGGGAAAGTTAGTGAAATTATTTACCGATACTTTCTCCATAATTTTGAATTGAAAATTGGCTTACTTATCGATTGTTGACAAAGAGGAGACCATTTAATTTTCTAATCGACTGTTGACAAAGAGGAGACCAGATTGTCTTTCTCCTCGGCAGTTGACAAAAAGAAGACCATATCGTCTTTCTTCTCAACTGTTGACAAAAAGAAGACCATATCGTCTTTCTTCTCGACTGTTGACAATTAAGAGACGATATGGAATTTCTTCTCGACTGTTGACAAAGTGGAGACCATATTGTTTTCTTCTTGACTGTAGACAAAGAGGAGACCATATTGTCTTTCATCTCGAATGTTGACAAAGACGAGACCAAATTGTCATTTTTTCCACAGTTGACAAAGAGGAGACCATATCGTCATTCTTTTCGACTGTTGACAAAGAGAACATATTGCCTTTGTTCTCGACTGTTGACAAAAAGAAGACCATATCGTCTTTCTTCTCGACTGTTGACAAATAAGAGACGATATGGAATTTCTTCTCGACTGTTGACAAAGTGGAGACCATATTGTTTTCTTCTTGACTGTAGACAAAGAGGAGACCATATTGTCTTTCATCTCGAATGTTGACAAAGAGGAGAACATATTGCCTTTGTTCTCGACTGCTGAGAAAGAGGAGACATATTATCTTTATTCTTGACTGCTGACAAAGAGGAGACCATTTGTCTTTCTACTCGATTGTTGACAAATAGGAAACAATGTTGTCTTTCTTCCTGACTGTTGAAAAAGAGGGGACCATGTTATCTTTCTTCTCAGCTGTTGAAAAAGAGGAGACCATATTGACTTATTTCTCGAAAGTTGACAAAGGGCAGACCATATTGTTATACTTCTCAATTGTTGACAAAGAGGAGACAAAATTGACTTTCTTCTCCACTATTGACAAAGATGAGACCATGCTGTCTTTCCTCTCGACTGTTGACAAAGAGGCAACCAAATTGTCTTTGTTCTCGACTGTTGAAAAAGAGGAGACCATGTTGACTTTGTTCTCGACTGTTGACAAAGAGGAGACAATATAGTCTTTCTTCTCGACTGTTGACAAAGAAGAAACTGTATTGTTTACTTACCGACTATTAACAAAGAGGAGACCATGTTGTCTTTCTTCTCGACTGTTGACAAAGAGGAGACCAAATTGTTTTTCTTCTCGATTGGTGACACAGTGGAGACCATATTGTCTTTCTTCTCGACTTTTGACAAAGAGTAAACCAAATTGTCTTTCTTCTCCAATGTTGACAAAGAGGACACCATATTGCCATTTTTCTAGACTGCTGAAAGAGAGGACACCATATCGTCTTTCTTCTCGACTTTTGACAAAGAGGAGACCATATTCTCATTCATTCGTCTATTGACAAAGAGGAGAGCGTATCGTCTTTCTCCACGATTTTTGACAAAGAGGAGACCATACCTTCTTTCTTCTCGACTGTTGACAAAGAGGAAACCATATTGTTTTCTTATCGACTGATAACAAAGAGGAGACCATGTTGTTTTTCTTCACAACTGTTGAGAGAGAGGGGACCAAATTGTCTTTCTTCTCGAATGTTGACAAAGGGGAGAGTATATTGTCATCTTCTCGACTGTTGAGTAAGAGGAGACCATATTGTCTTCATTCTCGACTGTTGACAAAGAGGAAACCATATTGTTTTCTTATAGACTGTTAACAAAGGGGAGGACATGTTGCCATTCTTCCCGTCACAAATAGGTGACCAAATTGTCTTTGTTCTCGACTGAGGACAAAGAGGAGACCATATTGTGATTCTTCTCCACGGTTGACAAAGAGGAGACCATATTCTCATTGTTTTCGAATGTTTAAAAAGAGGAAAGCATATAGTCTTTCTTCTAGAGTGTTGACAAAGAGGAAACCATACTGTCATTCTTTCGTCTGTTGACAAAGAGGAGAATATGTGGCCTTTCCCTACGACGTTTGACAAAGGGGGGTCCATATCGTCATTATTCTGGACTGTTGACAAAGAGGAGAACATATTGTCTTATGTTCTCGACTGTTGACAAAGTGGAGACCATATTGTTTTACTTATCGACTGTTGACAAAGGGAAGACTATATTGTCATTCTACTCGACTGTTGACAAACAAGAGACAATGTTGTCTTTCTTCTCGACTGCTGAGAAAGTGAAGACAAAATTGATTTCTTCTCCACTGTTGACAAACTGGAGACCATGTTGTCTTTCTTCTCGACTGTTGACAAGGAGGTGACCAAATTGTCTTTCCTCTCGACTGATGACAAAGAGGAGACGATGTAGACTTTCTTCTCAACCGTTGAAAAAGTGGAAACCGTATCGTGTTTTTTCTCGAGTGTTGACAAAGAGGAAACCAGATTTGTTTTTTTTCGACAGTTGACAAAGACGACACCATATTACATTTCTTCTCGACTGTTGATAAAAAGGAGACCAAATAGGTTTTTCACCTCGACTGTTGACAAAGAGGAAACCACATTGTCTTTCGTCTCGACTGTTGACAAAGACGGGAGCATTATATTTTCTTCTCGACTGTTGACAAAAAGAAGACCTTATTATCTTTCTTCTCGACTTTTAACAAAAAGGAAAAATATCAATTTTCTTCTCGACTGTTGACAAAGAGGAGACAATATCGACATACTTCTCAACTGTTAACAAAGAGGATAACATATTTTCATTCATCAACGACTGTTGAGAACATTTCTTCTCGACTGGTAACAATGATGAGACATATTGCTTTTTTCTTGACTTTTGGCAAAGAGGAGTCCATTTGTTTTTCTTCTCGACTGTTTTTAAATAGGATGCAATGTTGTCTTTCTTCCCGACTGTTGACAAAAAGCAGACCATATTTTCATTCTTCAAGAACTGTTGAGAAAGAGTAGACTATTTTGTCTTTCTTCTCGTCTGTTGACAAAGAGTTGACAACGTTGTCTTTCTCCTCGGCTGTTGGCAAAGTAAACATCATATCGTCTTTCTTCTCGACTGTTGACAAAGAGGAGGCAATTATTGTCTTTCTTCTAGACTATTGACAAAGAGAAATCCACATTGTTTTCTTCTCAACTTTTGACAAAGAGGAGAGCTTGTTGTCTTTCTTCTCGACTGTTGACAAAGAGAAGACCATATTGTATTCCTTTCGTATGTTGATAAAGTGGAGACCATATTGCTTTCTTGTCGACTGTTGACAAAGGCGACAGCATATTGTCCTTCCTCTCGACTGTTGACGAAGGGGAGACCATATCATCTTTCTTACCGACTGTTGACAAAGAGAAGACCATATTATTTTTCCTCTCGACTTTAGAAAAAAGAAAGCATATGTCTTTCTTCTCGATTCTTGAAAAAGAGGAGACAATATTGTCTTTCTTCTAGACTTTTGACAAAGTGGAAACCATATTTCACTATTTCATTTAACCTATATATGTGGGTAGAAATAATGGATTCAAGATTCTTCAAGGGAATAAATTCAAGCGCGAAAGTGAACATTATAATCTTTCAGTTATGGGAGATGCGTGATACAAGCTTAGGTGATCCTGTATCATTTGATACATGCATTTGGTTACCATTCTTTTCTGTGTTAGACCAATTGCTATAAAAGTCAATAGAACACGGTCTGTCCTGCTATTTACCAATAGCTGAGAGATGAACAGGTTTCATTCGTTTCCCAAGGGTATTATCACATAATTTAATGCAATGGATTGGATTGGAATTCGAACTCGGCTCTCTGGTTCCTCAATCTAAGCAGCTATAATGCTGGTTTATTTCAAACTTTGAACATTATAATACTGGTTTAATTATGTTGTTTTTCTTTTAATGATCGTCATTTAGCACTTAAGTTCCTGTTATCTGTATAAAACTTCATCTGCTTTTTTTCTGTAGTTACCAACTAGAATTATAATCTATAGTTTTAAAAAGTGAAATTTGCGCGGATCTATGTTGGAAAATATGCAGAGTTTCAACTGAAATCAAGAAATATACACTTTAAATATTTCAAATTATAAGGAAAAAAGGTTTCAGTTTAAAATGGAACCACAAAGGACTTACAAATTATTTTGAGGCAACAAAAAGGCTTTTTTTTAAAAATCGATGCAATTTTATGTCACATATTTTTGAAAGCTCTGAATATTATTTTCATTTTTCCAGCTAAAATTATATTTTCTTTTGTAATTTACGTCTCAAAAGTTTTCTTTAGAAGCTGTTGCCTTCTATTTAATTATTCATTTACATTTGCTTTTAGGATTTCTTTTTTTTATTAGGCGGACGTCTGACTATCTGCAGATGATTTCCCTGGCACTTAAGTGCGGCATTGCCTTTTGCGATCTTTTATCTTGAATCTGGAATTTTAAAGGATTCACTGTGATTTATTCAGTCTTTTTCTCTAAGTCAATTATTCGGTATTCATAAATTATTAAAGTCGAACATCTGTTGAAGAAAAGATGTGGACATTCGCATTGCGAAATGTATTCAATTCGAAACGCTAGCAGTAAAACGGAAAGGAAAAATAATAAAAAAAGAAATATTTTATCAACTGAAAATTTTAAGGATTTAATTGCATTCATTCGATTCTACTTTGGATTTGAGGATGCAGAAACTCATATTGTACATCAAAACATTGGAGTTGTTTCTATATTTTCAAGAAAGTATTGGAAAGCGTGAATCGAGCTGGCTGTGCACATTCAGTCTTTATGTAGGGGAAATAAAATTCAATGTGAAGCAAATATGCAAAAAAAAATATCTTTCTGATTATATGATTACTATTTGTATCAACAAAATAAAGCAATAATGGTAGCAGTAATATGCATTCGCATATCATGCGAGATAATTATAACATCCAGTTTGTTAAAAAATATGGGTGCGTCCTCTACTCTTCGCATTCATGGGCGATAGTATATGGAGTCCGTGCGCTGCACAGACCAGATTCTTCCTTACAGATATGTCGAATTAATGTTCGCGGCTAATTATCGAACTTTGGGCAGGGTGGAACACAGACGAGGTAGCAATGCTCGAACTTGAGTTTTTGCCCGACCCTACGAGTACGGAATCTCCCCACGTAAAACCTAGACTTATGCCACATCCTGCCTTGTGAGAAGGTTTGATACTTGACTCCTATGCCATAACAACAAGTTCTAAAGAACTATAGAGCATTATATTTGAGCCGGTGTGGCTGCGGGATTTGCTGGAATTTATCAGATTTCCCAGCTAACCGCCATCTGTGCTCCACTCCAGATTATTCATAGAAAATTTTCCTTGTTTGAATATAACTATCATATATGTTTGAATAAATCAGCGTTGATTTATCCGAAACGCCCGCTTATGATACACCACTCACGCATTCACTCTCTTTGAGCTGGACATGAGAGAATTTTAATAACAGTGGTAATTTCTTCCGACTACTATTTCTGTGTTATATTAGAACATTACTTATTCTATTGTAATTGACTCTCCCACACATAATAAGTAGTAGTAATAGTAGCGGTCGCCAGTTGGGCTCAGTGGAGTTGAGTGAGTCAGTCGATGTCGGACATTGAAGTATCAACGACCACAACTAGATTGCTGCGTCATTAACTATTATTTTCAAGTACCTAACGTTTTGTACGTCGGAAATACAAGCCTTCACTGTGAAAAATACTTTATAACATTCTGTTATGAAAAAACTTTGAAAAAATATAATGTGCATATATAAACATTACATAAACTGCTTTCTGAACTCGGGAAGATATGACACCTATATCGAAGTCAAAATAAAAGCAATTTAATACATTTCGCAATTCTTATTTTATTCCATTATATGTAATATTTACTTGAAGTTGCATATGCATTGTTTATTATTATTCCTTTCAAATGTTTCCCACGGATTTTCTTGGTTTATATATATTTCCTATTGTACAACTTTCATGAAAATCATTTGTCTTATTTTCACTTTCGGTTTTTGCTTACATAAAGTTTCATTTATCAAATTTCATTTTCAACTCTGGTTGATTTTTTTTTATCAATTAATACTTTAAATTCTATTACTATAAAAAATCTATTATAGATTATTATTTATTTTACATTATAATGATTACATAATGTCCGATTATTTTCGGCTTAATTCCAGTCTTATAAATTTTCTTTTCCATTCTGCTACCTTTTTCAACAGTAAGCCATCATTTACATTTTGTTTATCTATGTACGGAACTTTGGAAGCTGTTTTGCTTTTTAATTTTTTTTTTTTTTTTACTTACCTATATATAAAATGTATACATTACACGAGTCATGATTAGATTGTTTACACAGTTTTCGGCGTTATCACAACATTTCGGGTTTCACCGATGGTTAGCCGGATAGAGTTTAATTATTATGCATGTAATGATGTTAGATGGATCAATAAACGCCTGAAGAAGAGACTAATGTAAAACGACCGAAACGCTGTGATAACCACAACAAAGATCGCATGTAAATGATGTAAATAATGATAGCCCTTCATCCCAGATCTTCAGAGGGAAGGATTAATATTAGTTTATAAACTGCTATTTGTTGTGCAAGGAAGCAAAACATAAAATGATGTTGTTAAGCAATGCTATTTTCTATTTTTCCGCCCCCAAATATTTCATACTCATAAATCAATAGTACTTATCCGTAAACTTTAATAATACATTGCCATCACCTCGTATTCATTCTCAAAAATACGAAGCTGTTCTAGTAATTTTACGAGTCTACGTTACATATTAATCATTGTCAAATTAAGAATATATATATGTGTGTGTGTATGTGTAAGTTTGTGTCTGTATATATATATATATATATATATATATATATATATATATGATACTAATAATCTTATAAATATAATCAGCTATACTCGTCCGGCCAAACCTTAGGTGTTTTAGCTTGTAAATGAACACACCAATACCCAAGGGCAAAAATGGTGGGGAGAAAGAACTAAAAATATGTAATACCGGCGAAAATAATCGTCTAGAATGAAAGTTCAGAGTCCAAAGAAAAAAGCTTAAGTAGAGCAAACTAAGTAAACCTA